GCCGAAACTTTTCCACGCTCGTGTTTCGTCGACTACGAGATGATCAACCTGAACGACTCCTTCGGCCACTTCTTCAAACAGAATATGTTACAGCGCTCGATCGTGCTGGGCGGGGGTGATGCTTGCGCCAGCGTCTTTACGCAGCAGAACCGCTTTCTGTCCAGTGGATGGCAGCATGCTCGCGTTTGGACAATGGCCGAAATATATAAGAAATATTTACCTAGGGACGAAGTGCAAAGAATCGAACAACTGGAGCCGCTAGATGAGCCGGAACTGTTGATGCAGTTACTCGACCACTACTGCATGGTGATATCATCGAACGAAGCGGATCCGACCATGTTCGAAAAATTGTGCTTCAGCTAATTCGGTAGTTGTTCGAATGCGTCCATGCTTTCTCACGTTCAGTTATTCTTCGCTGATATTGTCCCCGTTGTTTTATAAATCATCGAGTTCAGTTGCCGGTTCGATTCTGTGTCGTCTAACCATCGTTGCTAGACGCTAGTACGACAGTCATCATCGTTTTGTTCGTTTTATTCATTCGATGTTGATGATTTGCATTTTTTTGGGGTATGCGCTTTCAGTTTTTGTGTAATGAACAATTATTTTGTCAAAAGCTATACCGCTGCAGTTTTGCGTTTTATGATTATGCTGACAACGGAGTTCATTCTGTTCTGTTATGCTACTCGTTTAATCTTTATTAGTTTGCTTTTTTAGCTTAGCCGGTACCGCTTCGGTTTGGTGATCTTAAGAAGTCGAATCCGGCCAGGTTCACTCTTTGTTCATCCTTCTGACGTTTTTCATTTAATAGCTTTTGATATCTGTTTATCTATCGAAAGCAGAAATGCTTAAGTCAACTTGAAAAGTCATCGAAATGCGAGTACAGCGGTGTCAAGCCTCCCTCTGTCTTGTTCTGTTAGTAGCATATAAAACTATTACTATCAGTCGTGTGAGCCATACAGTGTAATGTATATGGAATGCCATAAGTGATAACTGCCTTTCTCTTTGTTTAAATATTTAATTCTTGACTTTGTGTTACATCAGGTGCAGGAGGTTAATGATATTAGTAAAAATTAACCCTCTGTATTATAGACTTACCCACAAACTATTACTTCTCCAGTTTCGCACCATCTTACTTCTTGTAGCTTTGGAGATGGTTTTGGCTATATACACCGCATGCCATAGAACCGTGACCTGCCTAAACTGTCTTTTACCTTACTGATGTTAATATTACTGCATATTTTTGTCTACAAGCTTTCACATAGACATCATTCTATCGTCTGTCGATAGCAAGTGACTACGTTAAAGATAAATGAGAGTATTCGCAACGGGAAATGTCTTTAAGAGAATCTTGTATTGTTGCGGTCATTGATAGTTAATTCAAAGCAAATTCAAACTGTGAGAACAACCGTTTATCACTGAGTTTACAGGCTTTCAGACTGCAATTTCGAATTCAAAGCGATAGTATTTTGTCGGGCACTTGGTATGTCCTCCTTGGTACTGCAGTATCTTGGTCATTTTCCACGTGGTATCCCAAACCCACCTAATATCAGCAGGAGTTATTCGTAGTTGTTTCCTTCTCGTAAGCTGGATTTGATGTGCTATGTGACTGTCGCTTCTTTGTCGATGCAGCTGTGTCAAGACCAGAATCCAACTTATTCTTATGGCTGTTCGTTCTATGATAAATCTGAGATGTATCATTAGTAGTAATTCTGTTTTTCTGCTATCCACTCGGTGGAGTGGCCTTTGAACTAGCGGCAGAATATTGAGCAAACGATAAAGGAATTGAGGACCTGATTAGACGTCCATCGTAAGTTCGCCTGGTACATTATGGAGACGTTCAGATTTCAAACGACTGCAGAAAACTGAATATCGATGCAGTTAAACAGTTACCACGTCCTTTTATCGGTACCGAAGGAAATGCTGCACTTGGTAATGGTCAGCATGAACCTGAAAACAGTGCAATTTCTCAGACTAGTAATATTTGTGAAAACTGCGTCAAATTTCATCAAGGGAGATGCTGCCGTATCAGTGAATATGAAAAGATATTGGCAGATTCGGACTGTTAATTCACTAGGAAATTATTGACACTGTTTATGTGACTGAAATCAAGGAATTCTTTCTTGATTTATTGTGTTTCAGGATCGAAGATGCAAAACTGCTTGTTCAGCTGAATTGTAGACCAGATGTTACCTTCCAAACAAAAGTCTGATTGAAGATGTAACGCAGGTTCTCTGATGCTCCTGTTAACACTGCCGTTCATATGAGATATGGTTGGTGCGAATCGTCACCAAATGTGGCGGGATATAAATGGATGAATACGTCGCGAATCACTGTTGTATTTACGTCCACCGTAGAGGAATAAACCTGGTTACTTGACGACCCTGAACACACTAGATAGACAGTGACAACTAAACGTTGTACTATAGGAATAATCGTCCTTTACTGTGTTATATCAAAGAAGGAGAAGTCGTTTATGCATCGGAGTCATCGAAAGATGTAGAAGAATTATCGACAGTCAATAGTCACTAGTAATTAGATATATCGCACGTCAGTTGGTTCCGTTTTTCCTTCAAATCTCATTCAAGCTTGAAACAGACCACAACTGAAGTTATTCCCCTCAACTTAGTGTAATGTCAGTGCTATAACTTTGTCACGTAGGTCATTGATTTTTCTCAGAAGGAGGTAAACATATTGTATAAGTCATTGCCTTCTACCATTGTTTGTTTCGAATTGTAGTTCCTGAGTGTAATTTCACAATGGCCGTCTGGTTAAATTTAATGCGCCAGGCTGCTGTTGCTATTTTTCTACCAATTGAGCGATGTTGCATTTGTTGGTGGTGTGGTGGCATAATGTTTAAGAGGTCGGCTTTGGACTACGGAAATACGGAGTTCGGATTTGCTCAAGGGACAGCCTTTGTTTTCACCGTGAATTCCCTTGACTAGCGAATTCACTCCACGTTCCTTCGGTGCAACCATACGGTAAAGGGGTAGTAAGACGTTGATGCGAGTGACAAAGGTAGCATGGTATGCTGGTCTGATCATTCCAGAATGGACGAAGTGTACGGCTATGCTCTCTGAGGCGAACACCCTATGTAGTTGCACTTCCCCTTGCTCCACCCGATAGCTGACTATCAAATGTAATCATCAGCGCAAGGTTTAATCCTACCTTCGATAAGCGCTATTACTTTGGTAGCAATACGTAGTGCATCGGTTTCAAAGTCGACAGGTCTTGAGTTCAGATTCTAGTCGGGTCATCGTTTAAGGATAGATAAGTGAGTACCGCTTCGTGGCAAAAAGGACAGCAGGCTGAGTTATATTTTTTCGTTCACCTGTAGACATGGCCTTTAAAACGAGGCATTTTTATTTGAGATCAGAATTGGAGACCAGGGCTTCATCATAGGTTCCATGAAGTGAAAGGTGCTCATCATAGAACTCTAAGGAAGACCTTCGTTCCAGCTATTAGGAACTTTCCCTTTTTCTTTGGTACAATAACCACTACT